TTATATATATATATATATATATATATATATATAAAGAATTGCTAAAAAAAATTAATGTGAATTTAATTATAAAAGAATTTTGTGATATGTAGGGTTAATATTTTAATAAATTATTGATGTAATGAATGTGATCATAATGAATAACTATTTGTATCTTATATAAAACTTGATATGCATATATTATTATATGATTTTTTTTTTATAGTTGCTTCCATCTCTGCTTGGGATATGTTTTGGCCCTAGTGAGTCTCGTAATTGAACTAATCCAAACTTTTTTGTATAACATTTTTATTAAAAGAAATACACAGATTAAAATTACAGTTAAATTATTTTATCAAATTAATAATTAAACAATATTACATCTTAGGCTTTTGCATACTTTCATTAATTATTATATTTAAATTGATATTAAAAGCTCAATTTTATTAATCGAAATGTTTTAAAGACGAAATTTAACAATTAAGACTGGAATTTTTTTTAAAAAGGACAACTGGCCTTAAGTTAGTAAATGTTTAGTTTTTCTATTTTATCTCCTAACTTTTTACATTAAGAGAACGTTACTTGCGTAAATAAAAATTTGTTTCAACTTAAGGAAAAGGCAGAAGCGTGAAAAATTAAATAACCATACCCACATTGCGTAAATTAAACTAAAATTATCCCTTCGATTCGATATAAGAAAAGGTTAGGAAAGAGAAATAAGTAATATAATTGCGTATTTTTTATTTTATAAAAAATTGCACACGCTAAATATAAAAATTATAACAAATTATATTTTTTTCATTCATCTTATTTTTAGATTTATTTTAATCACTTATTCATTAAAATATTTATTTTAGTTATTTATTTTTTATATTTGAATTAATTTATTTTTTTTAAAATAATAATCATTTCAATTTTGTAACATGGTTTTAAATCAATTTTATCTAATTTAATATGTGAAACTTATAACATTAGATTCACTTATATAAAAATTATAAAATATAATTTAAAATTAAATCTAAAAGTATTATAAATATAGTAAAAATTGTGTAAAAAATATTTCATAAACTATTATAAAATTGTTTTTTTTAATTTTTAAGTTTTATAATGTATATAACACTTTTAGTTTGAATTTTAATTATATTTAATAATTTTCATATCATTGAATATAATGAGATGAGTTTCAAATCTTATATCAATAAAAAAAATTAGAAAAAACTTAAGTAATCTAAATTTTAAAAATAAAAGACTAAAATAAGCAATTTAAATATGTATTGTTCTCATAACGCACTCTTCCCGCCAATCCAATAACGGCGGCGCGTTATTGAAACCTTGGTGGACTTCACGCGCTCTCTCATTGGCTCAAAACCCAAACTCAGTTAACTTCGTTATTGGTTCGCCCAAACAACAACCATAAAACCGGTTTCCAAAACAAAAAAGCTACCACATTCACAACAAACTTTGCGTGTCTCTCTATCTTTGTCTCACCACAATCCTTCTTCTTCACTTTGGTTTTCACTTTTCAATTCATTGTTGTCTTAAATTTTAAACTTTGGAATTAATCCAAAGAGTGCCATGGAAGACCACAAAGAGAAGATGTCAGTTTCTAATGATTCAGAAATGAAGGTTGAGTTGCAGCCAGAGTCGGCTGAGCCGGATGTGGACAGCCACGCGCCGGGAACGGGCGGCGGCCGCCCCAGTCTCCTATGGCGGTTGAAGAAGAAAGATATGCTAATGAGAGGGTCGTTGGCGTTAAGAGGAATTGCTCTGTTTTTGTCATTGATTTCCTTTATCCTTGTCGCTAGTAACAAGCATGGTGATTGGAAAGAATTTGAATTGTACCAAGAATACAGGTACAATCTGAAACTTCTTTGTTTTTAGTTTGGTTGAAAATGTGATGTGGGTTTGTGAGGATTTTGGATGAAGATTAATGGGTTCCTGTAAAAATTTGATTTTGTTTAAGAATTTAATTGAAATGCATATAGTCGTTTTAGCTATCAACAAGTTGTTGGTCTAAGTAGTATTTGATTCAATCTCCTCACGTAAAGTTTCAGATTCTCTGACACAGATTAGTGAATGACAAAATGTGTGTTCAATTTACCATTGAAGAGTTACATCAACGTTCAACGAAAAAGACAAAATAGTCTTCATTTGGTGCATTAGAAAGGGTGAACCTCGTTTGCAGCAATGCAAACGGTTTCTCAAACAGAGCCAAAGTCGAAAGATACGAATACTCAAGTCAAGTGGCAGTGTACCATTCAGCTGGCACAGTTTAATGACTAAACAGTTTTTCTATTACTATAGATTATGTTTGAATTAGCCATATATATATATATATATATATATATACACATTAATTTTTAATTAGTTAATTGTCTAAAAACTAAGATTACGGTATATCAAAATTAAACTCTATTGAATGAAGTGTTACCATTGATGAATTGATTTTTTTTTTTGGATTATAGGTACTTGCTGGCTGGAGCAATTTTATCTAGTTTGTACACTGGACTTCAAGTGTTTCGTCAACTTCATGAACTTTCCACTGGACAAAACCTGATTCAGTTAAGAACTGCAGGATTGATTGATTTTGTTGGAGATCAGGTTTGACATTATTTCTTCTCCCATGACATTGATTTCGTTGGTGCTCTGTTTCTAAATTCAATACTTTGGTTCTCTTGATAGAGAGGGGTTCAGAAATCAAATTCAGTGTTGAAATTGAATTGAAATGAACATTTTAACAAGACTGATATTTAAAAAATAACTACTTGATCAATTTGCTTTTCTGTCGTTGATGAGTCACGTTGTAATATAGCATTAGTTTTTGTCCCTAATGGCTGTGGTATACTGAAGTTTAACCTCATTATTGGTGAGTTAGACTTGCAAGCAAGGACGGAGCCAAGGGGGGACCTACGGGTGCCACGGCCCCCCAACAATTTTAATTTTTTTTTATATACATATATATTACTATATGACACCCCTTATTTTTAATATAAACTCATATGTATAATTAAATGAATAACCCAAATTTATTTTTTTATTCAACTTTTGGACTTCTGGTACGGCCTGCTATGTGGTATCACTTTGGTTTTGTCAGATAATATGCTTTTGATACTTTAATTTTCATTTATTATAAATTATATATTATTTATTCTCGGCCCCCCAGTATTAAAATCCTGGCTCCGTCCCTGCTTGCAAGTAATGTTTATCAAAAAGCTGAATTGAAAACTTGACACTTCTCGTTGATGTTATCCTTAGGAAGGAATAAAATTCTAAACTTATTTCTTCAAGTAATCAATTACTATAACTAAAGTGTTACTCTAATAAGGACATAGGACTCTCAAGTTAGTTGTCAATGTTTCTAATATAATATGATTTGGAGGGAGAACAATGCTTTTTGGCTTTAGTCTTAAAATGTTAGCGGGTCCTACAAATCGCTATTTGTCTTCAAAATTAATGGGTCCCGTATGTGCTATATCACCCATAGCTTCAGAGAAAATTTCTTTTTTCTCTAAATAGCCCAGTACAGTATGGGCAATTCTAACAATTTTTATAATTAAGAGACATAAAAAGTAGAAAAGAGAGAAATATAATATTAGACAAGTGATACTGATGTCATAAAGATATAAAAAAAAATAAAAAAAAAAGTCAAATATGTTCTAAATTAAATATTTTTGGTTTAAATTAGTCTTTTTTTTTTTTTAAATTGATGAATTTGGTGATCATATGATATATCTATAATGAGGTGAGGTTGATGACAAATTGTTTGGTTTCAGGTTGTGGCATATCTCTTGATATCATCAACGTCTTCAGCGATTCCAATAACAAACAGAATGAGAGAAGCCGCAGACAATATATTTACAGACTCTTCAGCTGCAGCCATTGCCTTTTCCTTTTTGGCCTTTTGGTGTGTGGCACTGTCAGCTGTCATATCAGGACATAAACTATCTACCCAAACTTATATATAAATAAATAAACATCCTTAATTGATTAAAGTTTCTTCTATCATGTTTCAACTTCCACGTATTGGTAGATTTGTGTGAGAAAGTGAGTGTAAGAAACTAAGAATCCCCAACCCCCCTCCCCTCCATTTTAAGTATGTGCATGGGCTGCAATAAGATATATGAGATTGTACTGATATTTCATATAATAATACAACTTTTTTTTGTGTACTATTTGACACTATTTTGATGGTGTTGATACTTTTTCTTCAATGTGGAATATGGGAGTGATAAAAGAAGCAAACATTACAAGTGGATTTTTTTATAATAAATATAATTTGACTATTGTAATACTTTTTTCCCTTTAAAAATGAATTTGGTAGAACACAATGTAAGTTCTCGTGTATCTATTTTAACTCTCACCGCTAATAGGAAATTAAAAGAGTATATAAGTGGGAAGTGATTTTCACCTTACAAGTCAATTTTGTGGAATTGAGCTAAGTTTATAACTCACATTTTAAGATGGTATTTGAGCTATCTAGATCCACTCTAAAAGGGTTATCTACCATTTTGTACACATATCAAGCTTAATAGTACTGAATGTAAGGAAATATATTGGGAAAAATCAAAGTTCTTTTTATCCTAAATTATTAAAAAAAAAAGTCATACACCATTTATTCACATACTAAACTCAATAGTACTGGACGTGAGAGGATGTATCGAAAAAAAATCAAGTTTCACATCGACTAGAGATAAGACAATTAAAAAAAATATATAAGTGAGAGATAACCCTTAACTTACATGCCGATTTTATAGGTTGAGTTAAGTCTATAACTCACATTCAAAGATAAACTAACATTAGAACTAATTTTTTTTAAATAATTATGAATTATTACTGTAATGAATGATATATTAGAGAAATTTCAAGGGAAGTCCACTAAAAAATGTGAGTTTTAAATTATTTTCATTTATTATTTAGTAGGACTTATGTGAGGTCTATCTAAATAGTAAAAAAATGTGTTAGAAAGTATGATTTAGCATTTCTTCTAGAGTTAGAAGAATTTCTCAGCATGGACATTTTCCTAACTAAATCAGAAGTCGTTGACTATTTCATAATTTGAACAAACATGGACTTTGACTGAAAAATTATAGTCACTAACACAACCAAAAGTAACAATAACTAGTAACTGAGTAGATATTAGTATGCCAGAGTAGAAATAAATTGCTAACAATAACATAAATCTTTGAAAGTAACTGACTGTAGCAAGACTCAGCCAAAGCAACAAAAGAATGATAGAATTCTAGAGTCAACACGTTTTCTGTATCTGCTATTACAAAATTGTAAGTTGAAATCAGGCCTAACTCTTGTCAAACTTTAGAATACTGTGGTTCTAGTCTCTAATCTCTTGGTAACTAAATTAGTAGATGGCCCTGATTCCTGATTTTCTTATTCTATTCCTATATGCTATACAAAAGCATACCAAAGATATTATTAATTTGTGTACAATTCCAATTCCAAGTCTAGAAGTTCTTTGACAAAAAAGACTGAAGGAATGATGAGTCATTAGCCGAAAATCCAAGGCTTCCGGGGCTCAGCAAAAAGTCCATTGAAAAAGGTTCTTGACTTGCAGATATTGGTAGCTTTGTGTCATCAAGTGAATTGCTGAAACTTGCTTTGTTAGAAAAATTAGTCACTGGTAGGGGCCTTATAGGGGCAGGTGCTGTTACATTGCTGGTGGTGTTGTTATTTAGAGAAGTTCTGTTCATGCTATAGCTTGAATATCCTCTTCCTATAGGTACATCATGGTTATGTTTCCCTTCATAAGTTGTAATCACAGCTTTCATGTCATGTGCAGCTCGCTCAACATGTTTTCTCACTGGACAACCCGGGGCTACACATTTGTAATAGCTCCTGCAGAAAGAGTATTTTGGATGAGTTAGTCATGGTCTTATGGGATTGGAAATAATAGAAATTGTAACACTAAAAATCATATAACTAAAGGGTGGTGTTTGTTTTCTTCAGTTATCTTCCAAATTCACTTTCAAAATAATCACTCCTGAACAACAATCAAGATAAATTCTATCAAGAGTTTAATAGAGATGTAAGGACAATATAAAGGCTCTTTTACAGTCTTTCCAATCATAGATCATTATGTATGATAAGTTTTTTGACTTTGTAATAGTGACCTTAAAAGCCACAATAAAGATGATAGTACATGAAAATTAAACTCTTCTATTAAGATTTTTAAAAAATGGAAATACCTGGGGTTTGGGTTTCCTTTAACTACTTTCTGTCCATATTTCCTCCATCTGTATCCGTCATCAAGTATGTCAATTTCACTTGTGGTTTGAACCACAACTCTAGGTTCCTTAACAGTTCTACTCCCAGAGGAGGAATAGGAATAACCATCATTTTCATTCACTCTTTTCCTGAAACAATGAGAATCATAGTCACAATTAGTTACACTAAATCCAAGTTCCACCATTCAGTTTCATTTCAACAATACAAATCAGATCAGTAGAGTTATATAGCATCATTTGTTGACCCACCTTTTGGCCTCTGGTCCAAGGTGATCATCACCCTCTCCAGAATAACTAGTTTGGGATGTTTGCTCAAAATCTTCCTCTCCCATAGATTGATCAGAGATCCCTGAGTTGGTGCAGGATGAAGAAGTTTGATTAATTAATTGAGAACCAGTTTTTCTTGTAGACTGAGGCCTGGGATGATTGTGACTCCCCTTGTATACTATTTCAGTAACATGTCCCTCCAAAGACCTCTCAACTTTCTTCTTTGTTGGGCAACCCTGGTGTGTGCACTTGTAATAACTTCTTGGATTTTCGCTTCCTTTCACTTGTTTCTCTCCATACTTCCTCCAATTGTACCCATCGTCTGATCTCTTTAGTTCTCTAATAGACTTGAAAGCACTAGTGGAGTTAAAATGAACAGACCCAGAAGCAGAATTGCTTGGTATTTCAGGTTTTGTTGAGGCCATTTCTGTGGAGAAGCCCTGAGTTGATGCATATTCAGGTTTTGTTGCTGTCCTCTCAGATGAAAAATGTGTTTGCTTTGCAGCTTCATTGAATATCATTGGTGGATCGTCTCTTGGTGGATCCTGTTGCTCAAGTGGAACAAATTTAAATAAGAGAAAATAAGAAAAACTAGATCATACAGTATGTACTGACAGTGTAAAGTAGTTTTACATATTTATTCAATCACAATCTATCATACATGATGAGTTTATACTTTTATAATAATTATCTTAAAAATTATACTAGGATAATTTCTAATTTGTTGACGGCGTAAATGTTAAACTCTTTAATCATATGTCATTCCAGAGCATCAAATAAGTCAAATTGTTAAACAATTACAATAAGTTAACAATTTGTCAAGACTGAAAACATGGAAATTTTCAGATAAATTTCTAGGTGTTAAAGTTCAATGCCGCTTAATTTTAGCCATGTCAACTTCAAAAACGTTTTATTAAGCACACAGCAATGTCTTACAGTATTTATATCAACTGGCACAAAAAAAGAGATAAATTTGATTTTCGAAAGTAGGTAAGGATTTCTGGAAACATACATAGACCTACTTTTAAGTTTGATTCTGTCAACTTGGAATATCACAGTCAAGTTTTGAATTGTTCAAACAAGCTTGTACCGACAAAATACCAAATTAATTAATTAAGAAAAAAGTACGAAGCCGACACACTAAACAAAATAGCATTTGATAATAAAACAAACAAGTCCAAGTAAGTCAAGAGAAGCAGATCCAACAGGCAACTGTCTCTCACTGGCACCCTTAATGATCAAATAAATAACCGAGAAAAAAATACACGACCAAAACATATGTTTTGTTTAAGTTGAATCTATCATCAAAGGAAACACAACTTACCACTTGAAACATGTTTGTGGAGGATTGAAAGAGAGGCATGTAGTTTGTTTTTTGTTGG